GTACTGTTTGGTTAGTTTAAAAAAAACATGGTACAAGTTTAATTTCCTTTAACTACACTTTGGAATATTACCATATTATATGTGTGTAGTATATGAGTGCAGTCTGTATATACTGCATACCACAACTACATGTGACTTCCACACACATTTACTGAGGGTGTCACAAATCCAACTGAGCACTTATCGTATTGGTATGCCTTATGCAGTACTTTTTTTTTTTTTTTTCCCCCAGTACCCCATTACAATCACATTCCAGAGGCCATGTCACTATCTTAAAAAAAATGCAGCTAAAAGCACAGAAACTTCAAGTATTTTAAAAGGTTGCAGTGTTTTTTTCTTTTCCATAAACTATTTTTTATTGACCGGCAAATGTTACTAGTCCAGGAAGAGTTGATTCCTTAGCATAGCCCCCTCCTTCCATGTCATAGTCCTCTCTTCTTGCGGGAATGTCTAACTTACTACCTGTTCAGTCACAGCACCGTTAAAAAAATATGCAAATTCTTGAGGCAACCCTAGAATGTAAAAACTATAAATATACAAAACACATGGTCCCTCCAAAATCAATACCAGACTATTATACGAAATACGGGTCTGGTATGGATTCTAGGGAGGGGGGACCACCAAGCAAAAACACCCAAAAAAGTTTGATTCCCTTTTACAACAGGAGCCTTCTTCACATCCGAAGCATGACTTTGTGTGAAAATTCCAAGGCACCCATGAGGAAGCCAGAAGGCACCCGGGTTGAAAAGGGCTGTAATTTAGAGTATCACTTAAAGAGGAACTTTACCCACATCTTTGAAATGACAACAAAGGCATCTTTACAAATGTTTAGTAATGACAATCTACAAACACATACTTACATACTAGGTAATTGCCGGCTTTGTATTCTTTGCATACCTTATTTTTATTTTCCTTCCCATTCTTCTCACAGTGGCCAATTTTACTAAGGGCAGATTAATATATCTCCCTTTACTTCCTGGAACTCTGGCACATGTGACTAAGACATAGGACCAAATGGAAACCAAACAGAAAGCGCCAGAGACCACCACTCCTCCAAAGGAATTAATATGGGTGCATGCTGCAGGATGCTGCCCCACTTCAGTCAGGGAGACGGTAGTGTCTAGAAGAAAGCACAAAAGAGAGGGGTGCCTTCCCTAGTGCAGATGAGTTTTATTCAGGTACATGCAAACAGTTAAAATGGTACTCACAAAAAGTCCTTAGATAAAAGCCTTAGGACAAAGAACCAGGATAAGGCAAGTGGAAGTTTTGACAGGACAGTTCCTATGTGCCAGTAACCAGCGTTGACGCTCGGTCCAATTGGACGCTCTATACTATTTACCAAGTGGAAGGGAGAGGCTATGTTCTGACGAAGGGAGCTTGCCCCGGAAACGCGTCAACGCTGGTTACTGGCACATAGGAACTGTCCTGTCAAAACTTCCACTTGCCTTATCCTGGTTCTTTGTCCTAAGGCTTTTATCTAAGGACTTTTTGTGAGTACCATTTTAACTGTTTGCCTGTAGCTGAATAAAACTCATCTGCACTAGGGAAGGCGCCCCTCTCTTTTGTGCTTTCTTCTAGGACATGTGACCATTCACATCATCTCAGGGCTGGAAAATGCCTTTCCTTGAGATCTCCTGAGATTACAGATGGAATTTCCCTGCAATCTGCTGATGTAACCTTCCTAGGATGCACTACGTGGGCACAGATTACACCACTAAAGCCCAAGAGGACGAGAAAGTGGAAAAACCAATAATTGTAAGTAAAAGCATGTAGAGCTGCATGCTGTGGTGATTTTTAGTGAAAGGGGGTAAAAGTCCACTTTAAGTGACATCTCTGCGTCTGCTGGGGTTCTATGATATCACAATCAGGATGGTTGCACCAAAGCTCAGGGCTTTTAGATGTCTACACAAGGGAGGCTTGTACCGGTAAATAACATGCATAAAAATACATTCAATGCACATATATTTTTAAGGGAATATTTTTGTTGAAATGAATGGTCTGCCAACAGGGTGTCTTTAAATAAATCATAGATAATCATACTTTATTGTAACATATGCTGTATGGAAAGGAATCTGCTTACTGTATGGAAAGGAATCTGCTTAGAGAATTGAAAACTACTCTGGACTACAATGCACTTTTATCCGATTGGTTGATCTGGGTCAGCACATCATTTGTACCTTTTTATTATTTAATAAGTCCTTGTGTTTGGCTACTACATTTATTATCTAGATTCTAATCATTAATTTCACTTAGAATTTCTGCGCTCAGCACATTGCACAGCTCTTAATTTTACTCTGTGCATGAATAGGGAGATTTTTATGCAGGGACCTAATAAGTACATCTACGGCAATAATTGAAATATATCTTCAGTGCTCATGGTACATAAAATTGGACTTCATTATTTTTCCTGTTTTCATCAATTAATAATATAGTAGTCTTTTGCTGTCTCTGGTGTGTTTCAAAGAGAATTGGTTTTGCTATTTGAACTTAGTTCCAGTTTTGTTTTTATTTTAAAGTATAAAGGCACTTTAGCAGCTTGTATAAAGAATAACATTGATGATGCTTCACATTCATCGAATTCCATTATGGCAGCACAGTGGCTTAGTGGTTAGTACATATGTCTTGCAGCACTGGGCGGGTACATGGTTCGAATGTCAGCCAGGACACTCTCTGCATGGAGTTTCTTCCTGTGCTTCCACACTCCAAATACTTGCGGGTAGGTTACTTGGCTCCTGTCGAAATTATCCCATGTATGTGTCTTCATATTGGCTATGGACATGTGTCATTACATTCTGCATGCTGGTGCCAAGTCCATGTATATGGAAAGGGTTGATAAAATAACTGGCGACTTACCTTGTTAACATTTGCCAATAAAATGTTATGGAAAAGGCTCAAGTGTATCATACATGGTGCCCAGTGTGTTTGGCCATAGAATCTTTGAGAATCTTTGAGATATAACTGAATGGATATCACATAGTAAAATGCTATTTGGGTATATGCTTAAAGTGGACCCAGCATTAGACAGAGTTTTTCATGGTTAATGCATGCTCAGTAGGGGTTGACTGATAAGGTTTTCTCAGAACTGATACCGATTCTGGGCCACCTTTCAGGCCGATAACTGATACCAAGTACCTATATTCTGTTTACGTCCAGCTGCAGAATCTTTTGCTGGCAGCGAAATGTTAACAGCAGGCATTGGGACTGATATCAGTCGACCCCTACTGATGGCAGTGAAGTGGAGCCTCCGCCCTCCAACCTGAATGTGAACAGCAGGCAGTGGGTGCTCCTCCCCATACTTCTCACAGTGGCCATTTTTACAAAGGGCAGATTCATAGATCTCCCTTTACTTCCTGGAACTCTGGCACATGTGACTAGGACCATGCCCATCATCTCACAAAGATAATGCCTTTCCCTGAGATCTGGTGAGATTACAGATGAGATTTCCCAGCAATGTTCTGCTGATGTAACGTTCCCAGGATGCAATTCTTGGGCACATTACATCACTAATGCCCAAGAGGACCAGGAAGTGGAAAAACAGTAATTGTAAGTAAGTAAGAGAAAAATATGTTTAACTAATGAGTGTAAGATGATTTCAAATCAGCATGCAGAGCTGCATGCTAAGGGGATTTTTAGTGAAAAGGGGTAAAGGTCCGCTTCAATATGTCCTGGAGGACCAAGCCATCTTTGTTCAGGTGTCAGCCAGGGTCAGCCTCTACTTCCTGGATGAAAATGCTGGCTCAAAGCTCAGAGGTGACACAATCATGTAATTCCTGGTGCTTGTGAATGTCTTTGGCGTGTTCATAAATATGTGACGCATATTAACCCTTGCTGCAGTCTCTCACCTTGTGACTTGCTACAAAATAATAGTAATGTACAATCTGATCCGTGGGAGAGAGCAGACTGCGGAAATGCTTCATCCTGCCATGTCAGCCTAGGCAAAGTCTGTTTTATTGGAGTTCAAGGGCTGATTATTAAAGGAGAACTATGAGGTGAGTGCTTTTCACTCACCTCATAGTTTTAGCCGACCTGTGACAATGAGACTGTCACAGGTCGGCTCAGTAGATCGGGAGGTGAGCGAACATATACCGGCGTTCGCTCACCTCTCGATCCTGTCACGGCTCTCTGCCGTGTCAGGGGAGGGGCTAGATCCCCCCCCTCCCTGCTCGGATCTGCCAGCGCTGACTGGCGGATCGGATGGGGAAGGGGCGGGTACAGCTGGCTCTGCCTCTAGATAGGCAGAGCCAGCTGTCACTCACGCAGCTGGGCGGAACTCAACATCGATGTCGGGATCCGCTCCGGCTGCGGCGTCTCAGTATACCGCGAGCTGTAGCTCGCGGTATACTGAGCTGAGGGTGATGGGAGGACGCTACTTTGTGTCCTCCCGTTACCCTAAGGAGAACTATGGGGAAGAGCTCTGACCCCATAGTTCTCCTTTAATAAAGAAACGTGGAGCTTTTAAAATAAAAATTCTTCTGTTTCAGGAATTGATTCATGGGGGACCTGTAAAGCTACTGAAAAGTCCTGCATCTCCATCTTTAATATTTACTCTTTCTTACCAAGTTATTTGCAGTCTCCTTTCATTCGGTTATCAGGTGGCTGAATATAAGGCTAAACCCCAGGCAAACCTTCAATTACTTTTATAAAACTATATGCATGAGAGCGGTTTTACCTGCCAAAGGATTTTTGTTTTTATCCAATTATCCCTGAGATTTGCACAGCTCCGCTACACAGCCCTATTCTGCAGGGGAGGTGACCTGCTATAGTTTCACTTACCCCTCCCCACCCTGTTACTGGACAGTGAAAGGGGAAGCAGCATGCTTTTGACCTAATTTCTCTGTCACTCTCTTCTCTCCTACTATCCTCCTGCTCCTTGCACTGCAGCACACCTGTTTGGCTCTTGATTGTGCTGCTGCTTCCTTTCCCTGTGTGATCTCTGCTGTTTATTGGACTGCAAGAGGGTGAAATCAAGTCATATTTAGGAACTTACACTGCTTGGATTCAAATACATTTTGTGTTGTATTCATGCATGCTTTAATTTGTGCATGGAATTCATTTCTACTGAAATGTTTCCAGTCATGCACAATGCTGTGCATGTCTGGCAGTAACAATGGTACTATAGTTCTGGTTGACTTTTTTGTTTTGTTTTGTTCTATACACATAGGTGTGTCACATATGTACCATGTCAGCTATGGCAACCAGCAATCGCTGCAACCTGAGCTGGCACAGAAGACTAAACCAACATGAAGAAGATTATGAGAATGACTTCAGTACTCCTACTGTGAAATTTGAGCATGCATTGCTCCACAGTAATGGCATCTATGGCGATCAGTGTGGACTTGTTTTAAAGATCATTACTGCTTAAGTGTATTTTAATACTTGAATGCCCATAATCTGACCACAGATTCATTATATGGCAATCCTTTGTACGTGTTTCTAACAAAAAACATTAAAATACTCCAGTTTCCGTTTAAAGGATTAATAAGAATATTACAATGTGTTGACTTGAGTGGTTGATATACTACTTGTCTTTTGTGATTCTGCATTTGCAAAGAATATAATTTCATGAACACAGAGTTCAGTGCTGCTGTTGATGTGTGAAATAAATCCAGTAATTTCCTGTTCTTCAGTGGTAAGCACATTTCCTGTGCTCTTAATGGGAATCTATATCTTGTGGAAGGATCTCATGTTTAAGCTGCTGAAACCTTCCTTGTGTGCTAATACATCAAAACATTCTCAGCATATCTAATTGTCTGTTCTATGCCATTGGTATCATCAAACTAATTTGTACATTTTTATTTCTATTTTCTACCTATCTTGGCACAATTATTATTCAAATCAGTTGACGGAAACAGGGTTAAACCCTTTCCCTGCCACCAATCTTAGGCGTATGGTGAAACAGGACAACTTCCAGCTGGCTAGGTCAGAATGGCTTAAGCTGGTCATACGCTATACAAATTTTATCCTGTTGTTTCAGCCAGCATCCCTCGATCAGCTGATCGAAGGAGCTGGTTGGAAAGTCTTCGGACAATGAGCTGCTGGCTCCGTTCGAGTATTCTGACAGCGGCTGTCGGCCGGAAAATAAATCAGTGGGAGATTCCTCGATCAACGCTGGTTAGTGTTGATGGAGTAATCTGTTCTATGTTTTTTTTGTTCAGCCTGTGGGTTGAATGAAAAAAATAGAAGTGTATCGCCAGCTTTATGTTGGCTGCATTCTCCAATCTGCTATCCGCTCATGATTGCTAAAGCGATCGTGAACTTATAACAGAAGGAACCCCTATTCTCTCTTCTGAGAAAATTAATAGCAATCACCAGTTGCTGATAAGCGGCTGATCATGGCCATTCTTTCAAAATCCAACAGCCCTCTGCCACTATCACCGCTTTGATCTGTCCCTGCCTGTCACTGATCCTCATCACTGTGTGCTCCCTTCCACGTCCCCTGCATGTCCTTCGATCCCCGCTGCTCTGTCCTTGCTTGTAATGGCTGGCCAAATGACTGCTGTGTGGCAGGCAGGATCAGCTGGCGAGCCTCGGGCATGATGATCGTGGCAGATGGGTGGCACTGTTGGGCATATTTGAGATGGCAACATGATACATATATGTATCATGTTATGTGCACATATCCTGCATTATGCACATGCACTAAAGTCACATTTTGTGTGTTGGCCAGTGCATTAGCGGATTCATTCGGGGGGTTGGTGTTAAGAGTGTGAAAGGTTGGACTTGGGGGGCACAACCATTGTGAGAAGGGAAAGGGGCTTGTGAGGAAAATTAGCCTCAGGGGTATTAGAATAGGTGGAAATAATTGAAATAAACTATGGAGTAGAGAGAAAAAGATGGGTTGGTAGAGGGGGAGGATGAGGGCAGGGACAATACGGTACCACTGCTTCATACAGAGACTGTAACTTTGAGGCAGCATTATTAATCACGAGGGAGCATTATATACAAGAGAGCTTTATACTTTGGGGTGGTAGAGACCTCTTTCCTGTTAAACCAAGCACATCAACATTTATTATGGGTTGTCCTTCTGGAGGAAATGAGGCCCTCCATTCTTTCGATTTAATTTACTTTAATAATCTTTAATGTTATCGATGGGGCATGTGGTTGTTTCTATAGCTCAGGTATGCAACTTCTGGATTCTGGCTGCGTTGATCAGATGTCGTATGTGTTAGAATGTTGTAGTGGTGCAAGAGGAATAAGGCCAGGTCTAGCAGGATTGAAAGGGGGTGAATTTCTGAGAGATGCCCCTGACTTTTTTCTTAAAAAGGTTTGAGAATGTTGCAACACCAGAAACATATTAGACCCTGAAAACAAGTGTAATCTACTCCCAGCTAGGTGAAAGCTAGGTTTCTCTTATGATAAACAGGGGTGATGGGTAAAAATCATCCTCTGAAAGAATATTTAGCAAATTGCCCAAATTGTGGCAATATTGTGTGCTTTAGTTGCATGGGGGAGCTGTCAGAGCATCATAGCAGACATGATAGGGAGATGGTAATTGCTGCTTGTTCAACAACCATTCTTTAAGAGAGCCATGTTGTGGCCAAGCTAAGGATTTTTTAAGGATTTGGAGCTAAGGATCCTGCTGTTCTAGGTTGTTCACATGCTGCTTGCTCTGAAGCTCACTTCTCATTACCATGGAGGCTCCTGCTCATCTGGAGCCTAGGCCACTTTTTCCCCTATGCTCCCCACCTCCATCTAGTGGCCATAATGCAATATTGCCTTATCTTAAAAAAAAAAAGGTGTGTGCGCGTATATTCTGTGTGTTCTCTCTTTTCGCCCTCCGAAAATACGGTGCATCCTTAGTTTCTCTCCTCCTCCCTGGTGGTGCTCTGTGTCCCCTATAACACAGAGCAGCATCCAGCAGGTAGGAGAGAAACTTGATTATGGGCATTCAACTTATTATGAGGAGCGCTGCCATCTGTCACAGGAGGCCGAGCCGGCAGTGCGGGGGAGGAGTCAACACCGCCCGCTCAGCCTCTGGTGACAGTGAGTCAGGATCGGTTACAAGCTGATCGCTAAGTGTTTGTAAATAATTCTGTTTGTAAATAATTCTAATTTTCTGAGATTGTGGATTTGGGGTTTTCATGAGCTGTAAGCCATAATCATCACAATTATGACAAATCACGGCTTGAATTATCTTGCTTTGCATGTAATGAGTCTATCTCATATATTAGTTTCACCTTTTAAGTTGCATTAGTGAAATAAATGAACTTTTGCACGATATTCTAATTATTCGAGTTTCACCTGTATACTTATCTGTGTCTATCCATGGACACAGACATCAGCGAAAACCTGACAGAGGTTCTACACTTTCCCCACTCTTGAAAAGTGTCATTAAAATTATTGTAATTGGTTAACATGATATTTTTAGCAGTTTCTGGAAGATCGTATCTCTTTCAAATGAGCTTAATGGAATGGTGATTTAGTACATGCCATTGCATATGCTGATGTATTTCTACTGACCAAAATCAATTGAATTGATGACCAGAATGCTTAATGATATTATTTCCTTCATGCATGTGGTCTTGTACTTTAGACAGAATGTCATTTATTAGTCTATAATATGCCATAAATAAGTAGCTATTCTTTGGAGGAATTTGGGACCGTTTCCACAGATCACTGCACTTTCCAACACACAAAGGCAGAGTCTCTGGTGCATGTCCATTGACATCAGCAGGGCAGTGTGCTCCAGGCTAGGCAAAGCAGGTAGTCCTCAGCTGAGTTCACCCCTGGGCTGTTCACATGGAGGAATAGAGACAAGAAGATAAATGTGATATAAAAGCAGTCTCTTCCAACCCTCCACCCAAATCTACAATCTTATTTTTGCACAGGACGATCGGTTACGTAACCAATTCATTCTCCAGAAATATAGATGTAAGTGTAGCTTCAGGTAAACCTGAAAAAAATCCAGGCTGATCAGCTGAGAGCAATGTCTGTTACATTAGAGTTCAGCTGCCGTTCTTTGATCCTGCAGAAGTTTACTTGAAGGACGATGGCTGTTGCCACGTTCAGCAAAATTTCATTGATCACCACAGAAGCAGATTTTTAATGGCATTCAATAGGAACCTGCCAACCATAATGGCAGAGTCATTTAATGGATACGAGTCTCTGAACTTGGCATCTGTGCTAATAGTCATTAAAGCGAAGTCCGAAATCTGCCACAGCTTAAGTTCTTGAAAGAGCCCTTGGATTTTTTTTTTCTTAAGATTTAAAAAAAAAAAAAAAATCTGAAATAATATCTCAAACTTTTTGTTTTTTTTTTT